AGAGCACATGCAAACGCATGTGGTATGATTCAAGCCTAGAGGACATTATCTGTTAGATGGAAAAGATTCAGGCTGAGGGAAGAGAGAGTCTCCACAGATTACAGTAAGGTCTGCAGCTCCTTTTGCCCCCAGCTTTAAAGGCTGAAACCTCAAAGAGGCTCCAGGCACTCCAGCGCCTAAAATGATAAACACAGAATGTACGCCAAGGCATTCTGAAGAGTGTGCAGGAAGCTTACTTAACTAGCATGATCTGCACCAAGAGAGAGCAACATCTGTTGGATTAATTAGCTGTGTAATTAGCATCCTCTCAGTTGAGAGGATTCACTTTCTGCTTCCTGAAACATTTCCAGTGCTTTTATCATCTTCATTCTGCACACAAAGCTGAAGTTTATTTGGAGCACCATCTCACCCGCTGCCAAATGGTCTCAACAAGACCATCCAGGACGAAACACCACCACCACTGCTGAAAGCAAACAGCCATAGCAAAGAAGTGGAGGAGGAGGAGGAAGAACAGGAGCAAGGTACACAAAGAACTATTCAGCTGCTTGGGGACAAGTAAGGCTTCCAGACCTCAGTAGGTGCACTCAGCCATCAACTAAGTCCAATGTGCCAAAGCAAATATAAAATGCTTCACCAAGGAGCCAATGCTTGACTCTTGGGAAGAGTCAGGAATATCTATCTTAGCTATGACAGTAAAAGTCCAGACAGCTATGGCCTCCCTGAAGAGGATAATCTGGGGGAAAGAAACAAAGGGCTGAAAACCGTGCTAATAGAAAGACAGCTGAAGTGAAAAAACTTGCATAGAGTGCACCAATGCATGATACATCCAGATGTCCATACAGGAGAGTTCCACAGAGACAACTTAATGGTAAACATGAAGGTGCAAGGAGAGACTGCTTCCTTTTACCCACAATGTACCATCTTGTCATGAGCATGGAGTAGCAAGAAACACACATCACTAAGAAAAGTCAACACACTCCTGCAGGCTGTCCCAGAGCCAGCATCTCTCTAGCTTCATTCAACAAAAAGTGCAAGGAGTTTCTTTTTCAATCCCAGATCTGGGGGCAAACTTATTTACCTGTAGATGCCTGCCTTGTATCAAATCAAAGTAAGTTTATTGTGCCATGACAATTCCATACAATCACAGTCAACTTAAAATATAACTCAGACATCGGCAAATAAAAACAGTAAACATATGTGAGATATCTGATAACAGGGATACCCCTGCATCTACACTGATTTTCAATTTAGTACTCTGAATCTCCCTTATAGTTTATGGCTATTTTATCCAGTTCCTTCTTCCTGATCTTTTTTGCTGCCACAACAAAAAAGGCCACCTTATGTGTCACCAATGTATTGTTGTCATTCAACGAACACTGAACCCTCTCACTTGGGAAGGGCCCACTATCCTGTACAAAGAGAAGTGCCTCCTTGGATCTGTGTATAGGGGACAAGTTAACATATAATGGGGTTACCAAAAAAATACAGAGTGTCTGCATAAGGAATCTTATTATAATAGCCATCCAGAACTGCTGAAGGAAGCCTGTCTTGTATAGTATTACATAGGAACCGCTTAAAGGTAAGGGACACAGAATATCTGAGTTACTACACTCTTGTCCAACCTGTGTCAACTTTCAGTTATTTTCCAAGAGTTTTGCCACCTCAGGAAGATACAGGACTACTCTCAGGCTTGTAATGACAAGTGCCAACACAAGCTCCAATGGGCCCCCTGACATGTACAAAAGGTGACTTTGCTGGTAAACTGCTTTGGGGGATCAGCCATTGAGCAGAAAGTCCCATTAAGGGACAAATTAAAGCATAATTAGGAATATTTAAATGCCAAAAAACAGCTATTAAGCAAGCAATCTATTCTGACAGCATGACCCTAATGTGCAACGTGAGCAGCAGCTACTTCAAGTGTGGGGAACCTTTGTCCCTCCAGATGTTACTGGACTACAATACCCATCATCCCTGGCCACTGGCTACGTTTGCTAAGGCTGATGGGAGTTACAATTCATCAACATCTGGAGGCACAACGTTTCCTCAGCCTTGCTCTACTGCATGCCTAGCCAATGTGGTAAAATTGGTCGTCATTTGAATCCATGACATTAACAAGCTATGGAGCAAATAAATAAATAAATAAATAAAAGAAAATGTCCACTTCTTTGGAAGACTTAAATGTAGTGTTGAATTATTCAGTGATTTCAAATACTAGTTTGAAAAATCCTTCATTTCCCTGTCGTGCAAGAATGGTTTGCTTTTGCATTTCTTTACCTTTTGCATCCAGGCTTCCCTACACATCCACCTTAACTTTGTGCCCACTTTGCCACTGAAGCTATACATAGGTGGTGCTTGCCAACGTCTTATCAGCACCACAAGGGCTATCTCATTAGCACTAAAACCCACTAGGCAACCTGCTCAAGGAGCAAGGTTTCAAGTGTCCCTCTGCTGATACTTGTCAGTCACACACACACACATTTCTGGCATCTAGCACCATTTATGCAATACATGGAGCCAAGGAATAACAACTTAAAAGGAAAATGGCAAAAAGGCAGGGTAAGGAGGATTGCAAGTATGATAAGCCTTGAGCTCTCTCACCCAGGCAGCATCTGGAGAGGATTTTCTCCAGCAGAGAGGCAAGAACTCGATTACATCCAGTTAACTGCACTCTAAACTGATTATGCATGTGCCAGGCTAATGGATTACATTAGCAAGAGGAAAACATCCCACCAATCTCCATTTTACAATAGACAACTCAAGGTCCTGAAAAAAGAAAAGCTGGCCCTAGGATTGTTCCCCAGGCTCTGAGCCACAGGGGCAGAAACACAAATGAAGAGCCAGACTTTGTTGTCAGCATGATCCCCAACATTCCTGATTCCAATATCCAAACTCAACTCCTTCTAGACAAGGGGTAGGCAACCTAAGGCCCGGGGGCTGGATGCAGCCCAATCGCCTTCTCAATCCAGCCTGCGGAAGGTCTGGGAATCAGCGTGTTTTTACATGAGTAGAATGTGTCCTTTTATTTAAAATGCATCTCCGGGTTATTTGTGGGGCCTGCCTGGTGTTTTTACATGAGCAGAATGTGTGCTTTTATTTAAAATACATCTCTGGGTTATTTGTGGGGCATAGGAATTCGTTCATATTTTTTTCCAAAATATAGTCTGGCCCACCATATGGTCTGAGGGACGGTGGACCAGCCCACGGCTGAAAAAGATTGCTGACCCCTCTTCTAGACTAAGTCACATCATCCTAATAATGTCAGTGCTTCTACCAATACTACAAACCAATCCATCTAACCAGGTTGGGACACTACCCAACACTAGAGCCAAACTGGGAAGGACTAAGCCTGATATTTCTAAAAGGACATGGAAGTCAGGCTCAGTCTCCTTCCTTGTGGGTAAAATTGGAGACATGGAGTTTTATCTAAGTGGAGGACTCAAATGCCTGAAGCCTCCACATATATAAAATTTGAATATCTTATAAGAGTTTGGGAGGAAGTTGCAGATTTAATACCAGTTTTGTACATGGGTAGCATCCTCATCAGGTAGGTTACATCAGCAGAAGCTCGCTGCATAGGCAAGAAGATCTATCATATTGCCCCAACTACCTTTCCCATTCCCCACCCATCCTGGAGGGAGACCATGTAGGTCTAATTGCTGACATAGCTCCACAGTCTGGCTGTTACTCCAAGCAGCTCAACTAGCCCCTTCACACACAATAACATACACCAGTAAAGTCTCCTGCAGTGGTCATCCCCTGGTGAACATTTACATACTCACTTAGCCTAGGTTTATTTTCAGAACCAAGAAAAGCCTACTTGGGGTCATAAGCACCTGCAGCTCTGTTATGCCAGGCCAAATACTCAGTAACAGGTTACTCTGGTCTCCTGAAACTTGCCAATAGCCAACTTTGGGCCAGACAGTCAAGAAGCAGCCAAGAGAGAATAAGAGTGAACCCAGCACCAAGAGGGCAACACCCTTTAGCAAACAGGAGGAGGGCTGGAGAGAGGCAGAACAAGTAGAACAGAAAATTGAAGAAAACAGATGAAAGCAAGTAAGACAGCATGTATAAGTGAGTGGAAGGTACATGAAGTGAAGCTGCTTAGAAGCTGCTTAGATTTATAGCAATTTGTACCTGATTGTTCATACTAAAGCCATTATGGGATGATTAGAGAAAAAGGTGAAGCTTTAAGTCCAGTGAAAATCAATAGAAATGTCTGGAGCAATTCTGCCGTGCAAGTGAAAGGACTATTTACTGTATATGCAGAGCTTCTCGGTTTCTAGCCTACATGGATTGCATGGGGGCAGGGCGGGGGGAACAGAAATTTGCAGCCAGAAGCAGCTGACAGAGAGGTAAGACAGAGGCAATGAGGATATACTAGAGGAGGAGAAAAACCTGCTTGGCAGCAGAGCCCTATTACAACCATCCCTCCTCTCTGGCCTGCCACTTTGCTGCAGGTACACCAATGTACAGGATGTATAAATGACAGGTGTGATCCATGAACACCTGTGTGCCTTGGAGCTATATATTGAGAAAGGCTAAGGAGATGTGCACATTTCTGGAATAAAAAACGAATGCAACAGCACAACTAATAGGCATGGGAGCAACAAACAACAGCACCACAAGAACAGAAACAGCCAGGTCACCCCACCCCTCAGTACAAACCGCACATAAATGTGCATTCCCTACCGAAAGAATGATCTTCCTTATAGGAGGAAGTGACATTCTTGTATCTGCAAATACTGCCTCTCCTCAACAAAAGGCTCTCCTAGAATTGGGCTGCAGGTGGTGAGCCAATAGAAAGAGTAGCAGCTCTGTGGGTTACATGTCCGCTGGCATCCTTGCACTGGCACCCAGTCTCAGAATTCCTTCTGGAAAAGCTACTCTTAGCCAATCTAGGAATAAATGTAACTGAACTGGTGTTCAAGGCAAGCTGCCAAAGTTTTTCTGCACTGTCCCACCCAACAGCAAAAGCATGTGAAAAGCTGGGTCTTCCTTACCTTGTAGAGTTTCAGGCTGGCCTCATGCCTGGAGTTCGCTGTGTGGAGACGCAGCTTCTCCAAGCTGTTGGTATAATAGTCACAGGCATTGCATTTCAAATGCACGGGGTTCCCAATAGCCACACACTTGAGCCTCCACTCATTGGCCTTGCCCCCCTCCTTGATATGTGCCACCAGCTGGTACTTCTGCACGTGTTTGTCAGTCTTGCAATGGAGCTGGAAATTGGCCTTGAGCTGCGTATTGTAGCGACACAACTTGCACTGATAAGAGTCCCCCATCACAGCCTTCCATTCCTCTTCAGGCAGGCTGCGCTCCACGTTCATGTGCAGCCCCAGCAGGTCCAAATTGTCTGTGGTGAACTTGTTGCACACGGCACACTGGAAAAGCTTCAGCGAAGGGTCATTGGTCTGCGTGAACGTCTCCCCCAGGTTCATTAGCTCCTCAGACACCAGCTGCCCACCCCCAAGCCGCATGTCCAGGGGGATCTCTCCACCCACTGCACAGAGAAAGAAGAAAGTCAGTCAGAAAAGCTCTGCAGAAACAAGCAGGGTGGAGGGCAGCAACTCATTCCCACTCCATGACAGCAGTGCATCTAGAAGGGTCCTGGCCATAGAAGCTCCTACAGACCTTGAGGCATGAAGACCTGGGCTAGAAACAGGGTGAAACTGGAAACAGAACCCCACTTTCCCCCTTTTATTTCCCAAGGTCTGAAATGGACATACTGGAAATTGGGGAAAAGCTAAGAACAATTTTATCCTTTATAATAATAAATGCAGTATTTTTTTTAAAAAACAACAACAACCCTGCATTGATTATTAAAATAATATCAATTTTATTTTTAAAAAGTAACTGTCAGTTCACATTGTTGCAAATCTCTTAGATCAAAGAGAGTGATGCAAGGGATATGCACTGTTGCTGTGTTTGATGAGATTATTCAACAGGCAACATTTTTCTCATGATGTTGGAAAAGTACTTTCAAACACTGCTGAACATCCCCAGGTATGTCCTCTAAACTGAGAGCATTCCAAGCATATTGCCCTGACAACACAGTGGCATGGCCTATGCTCAATACAGCCCTCAATGTATCTTTCCACTTGCCTCAGATTCCTCCAGCTGGTACGTCAGGGTTATGGAACATTTTTGAGCCTAAGGGGCAACCTTCCAAAGGCTGCTTACCATAGAAGAAGAGGCAGAAGTGGGCACCTTTGCACAGTAGGCTAGTTTCTACAGACCTTCCTCTCTGCCTTTCATTCAGACAAGCAAGAGGCATTGTTAAGAGTTCAAGGACACATTCAAGCCAAGCAAAATCACCCAGGCTGCAAGGCAGGGCCAATGAGGGGGTGTGGCCCTGGAAAAGTTTTGAGGGCCTGATATAAGCCTGGGGAGGGGGGGACACATTTGGCCCTGCGTCTGAGGTTTCCTACCCCTGCACTACATCAAATCAAATTAAACTGATAAATGTTTGAACCAGCACCAGCACCCCAAATCAAGGATGAAAACTAAATTTATGACAGACTTAAGCTCATTTCAATGCCTGAATTTTCTGAAGCCCATTGAGCTAAAAGCGGTATTTGAGACATTTAGTCTGATTAAGATGAAAAATAAGTCATACTGGTATATTCAAGGATATATTTGCTGAGATGAAATCTTATATAAATTAAATAAATTAAATTTAAATTTTGTCTACAGCTAAGGTGACACCTGCAATCCAATCCAATTCCACTCAGTTTAATGGGGCTTACTTCCTTGTAAGTGTGTAGAGGATTATAGCCTGACTACATATGATGACATACTATTGAAGAGTTCAGTGACACAATTAAGATTAACTGAAAATATTCAGATTTAGTATTACTCTTTAATTATATTACAGGGATGGTTATTTTCTATTTGAGTGCTCTCTCATATTTTCTGCACAACCACATTGAGGGCTACATACTGCTTCTAAGCTCAGTTAAAAAGCGCCCCCCCCCCTTTGTTTACTAGGATGTTAATGGTTTCTATTTTCAGCTTTTATTTATTTCTATTTTCCCACCTGGCAAAAAAATAGATGCAGTTAATACAATATGGTGGAACAAGTTACAATTCCATTTGTGACCTTTGGTTTATCATTGTTTTAGTAAGAGTGAAGGAATGTGTACTTTTACATTTAATATATATCAAACTACCATGCAACTTCATGTTCTTAATGTAGTAAAGGACATTTGGTTCTGACAAAAAGGAATGTTGAATATATTTACTTTTTCTATCACCTGCCCAAATCCCCTCCCCCAAACAAGCAGTTTTCTTCCATTGCTTCAAAATGCCTGATAATTTTACATCTCTAAGCAGAATCCCCCTGCCACAACCCTAGCTATGCCCTTGGGTGCCACAAGTTCAGGAAGGAAGTCATACTAATTGCCATGAGGAATGCACTGGTGCAATTCAGACATCACATCAAACCATAGCTTAACTATGGTTTAGTGTATCATGTCTGGATTGGCAAACCATAGCTATAGTCATTGACCTGCCTCCAGAGTTTACTGCATCATGAAGATGAAGGTGGACCTCTGAGGCAGAAACAGAGGCAGACAGGCAGCTCTAAAAATCTGTCAGCTGTACAATTGGCCAACTGTAAGATTAAGGCAAACCATGATTTGGCATGATGTTTGAATGAACTGGTGTTACCCACTAGCCCATTTGTTAAAGCATGATGAACACCCGAATTCTGCATTTTCAGGAAAGGGGACTAGGTAGGAACACAGTACTGCAGTTGTACACTCTAGCCAAACTAACAGCATCCCAAACATGGAGTCCAGCAGTGAGAACTATAGCCTACTCTGGGCTATTCCATTTCCTGTTCAGTCATGGGTAAGTTTCCATCTCAGCTTACTTGCCACCTTTAAAATGGAAACAAGCAATGTACCCTCACGGGGGTATGAGAGACCCGTACAGCACATTAAAAATGCAGCACAGAAGCAGAGGAATTTGAGGTTGTGTTCATAAGGCTGTATCCAATACTCTCTGTCCGCAAGTGCAACTGATGCTAGCAGATGGGTGAATTTTAATGTTGCACAACAGAGGAATCCAATGGAACTGCTGTCCTAGCAGTCACATACTGTGCAATAGATTTCGCAATCTACTGTGCAACAAATCTATCAGCAACCTGCTTCTGCATTCTCTCACTCAAAACATTCCAATGATGCAAAACATTTCACCAGTGGAACAATAATACATTTAAATGAGTTTAACAGCACTACATTGAATGAAACCCATAGACTGCCTTACTTTTAAATGCTTTCTCTCACCCTCACACACAGAGTTTTTCACTTTAGTACAGACTTCTACAAAATCATATGCACCAATGCTTTACACACAGTCACCTCGATTCATCCTGCACAAGAAAAATATTGTTTGGACAGCTAGGTGCAGGAACATCACAGTCAAAACAATATTTCCACTCTCAAGCCACCCTCATCTACTTTCCATCATCTCCCTTCTGCCACAGTCCTTTAAAACACCTGTTCTTCTTCAGACAATGGCTTCTTAGTTTTTGTAGCATTTCCTCCTACAGCAACTATTACCTATAATTCTCGTTGTCTAAACAGCAGTAATGCTGAGTTTGGACTCATATCATAGAACAATGGAGTTTTCAATGCTTTAAAACAAGCATGCCCAATAAAAAAATTGGGAATTTTCACAGAATCTGTTTGAGACAAGAGACTTTGAAAGAACAGCTAAATTATAAACACAGTTGTCTGAAAAGCTTGCAGTTTCCAAAAGGAGGGATTTATCTGAACTTCAAACATAGAAAGACACAAAGGGCTGGTCTCTCAGGTCTGTATCTGATGCTTAGTTCAGGGGAAGAAATCTTAAAAGCATGATTTTTCCCTCCCTCATCCTGCCCTGTTTCAGAGCAGATTATACTACTATCCACTGTTTTCTGTATGGCAAGAAAAGTCACTCATTTCCCTGCAAAACTCCCAGTATGAAAGTATCTACTGATATGTGAAAGACCGGCTACATAAAATGAGAAAGTGACATCTCCATCTCCTTTTTCTCCAATAAAACATTGGTCATGAGTCTGCTGGAGCCAAACCTGGCTCTTCTGCACACCTTCCACTCAGTCCAAGGTTGCAGCCACAGGATGGTCTTTCTTACAGCTTTAGATGCATCCATAGGGAGGGGGAGAAATTGCTTTGCTAACAATGAGGGGATGTCATGCTGCCCCCACCCCCAGCCTGAATCTCTCAATCTCAGCAGGAGATTAGCTTAACACACTCCAGGAAGAAGTTGCGGAGCCACTACACTCAGAATTGTACCATTTCACAGATTACCAAAAATAGTGACTTCCATACGCATGCACCACTGCAGTTGTTTAAAAGCAGCAAACTCTGCTAACAACAAACACCCATTTTCTACATCCAAATTTCAACTAAGCCATCCCAACCAAAAGACATCCAAAGAGCTAGCAGATTGGCCTTGAAGTGAAATAACTCCTACAAGATGATTAAGTAGGGGAACCCTTTCAATCAACCCTACTGAAAAGTGCTTCACCCAAGTACATATAAAGTTGATAAAGGTGTTATATGCACCAGATTAATGATAGAAATAAACATAGGCTTTTCTTGTGATATGTTAGTGCTAAAAAACCCTACCATTATTACCATGTGGGAAAACACTTTAATATTAAATATTCAAAAGGTGGTGTCACAATAAGCCCTGCTCTGTTTGAAACACCACACAGTTCTTCCAAAAGGTTACTGCGCATATATATATATATATATATATGCAGGTTTTGGTGTCCTCGGGTGTCTTCCCGTGTAAAAGTTAGTATATAACAAAAGTTTAAACCTGTCTGGTCAGTTCTTCTTATGAATGCAATAATAATCACAGCTCTCCTGCTTTCTCCAGAAAAAGGAGGATGGAGGCATATGCATATTCTGACAATATGAAAACCAGCATGATTCAAGTGATCGCTCACCTGTATAAATATCAGCCTAGGTTTAAGCTGAAATGCTAAAGAAAGGGGGGGGCAAGAAGCTATTCTTTATTTTTCGGGTTTCTAGCAATTCAGGCCTGCCAATTCACCATTACCACTAAGTCTGCTGCATTCACCACACACATGGAACAAACCTGAAAGCTGGGTTTTGCCCTGTTCCTTCATAAACATATTCCTAACCCTCATGTAAAAAGAGAAACTTTTAGAATAGGTTGGCAGAGGTACAAGAAATGAAGCATCTAACATATGCATGTCTGTAGGAGTCTGATGGCAGATTGCCCTCTTCATAACCTTTTTGATGTTCTTAAACTCACAAAATTTGCTAAGAGATGTAAACATGCTGCCCAGAGAAAACAAGAAACCTGAACACATCTCACGACCCACGAAAAGCCACTCTTCCACACCATTTCTTCATGGCTCCTCCCAGTGGCAGACCCCAGCTGAGAATATCTATGCACAACCCCCCACAAAGAATCACAGGGCGAACTCAGGTCACCTCACCTAGAGATGGGGCCATGGATGCTATTGTGTTGGTGGGATCCATCTGGAAGCTGCCCATCATGAACGGAGCCTCGGACGCAGCGCTGTCCATCTTGAGGTTGGGCAGGGTCATATTCTGAGCCAGGTAGTACTGGTACAGCTCAGCCTCAGCAGGCAGGCTGCCCAGGCCCAAGTGGCGGTTGTGCTGCATTTGGCTCATGTTCTGCTGAAGCAGCATCATGTTGTGCATGTGCTTCTCACTGGTCATGTGAATGCGAAGGTTCCTGGCAACATTGGTCTCATAGTCACAAACCTCGCACCGCCAGGTTGGTTTGCTTTTTGGTTTGGTGGGGGAGGGGGCCCCACAGCTGCTACCCATGTTGGTGGCGGCAGCAGCAGCAGCCGCAGCAGCAGCAGCTGCCGCCGCCGCCGCAGCCCCAGCAGTGTGGCTGAAAACTTGTTCCCCACCTCCATTCTGCAGGTTCTGCATGTTGTTGAGATGCTTGTCAGACTGCATATGAATACTGAGGTTGCCTTTGGTAGTAGTGGAGTAGTTACAAACCTCACAGCGGAAAGGCTTGTAACCACATGTGTAGCTCTCGCCCCGTGCCAGCCGTGGGTGGGGCTGCCCGCTTTTGCAGTAGGCACACGCACCCCCTGGCTCTGGGTGCTTTTCCTTCATGTGAGCCTCAAGCGTCTGCTGGTACTTGTAGTGCCAATTACACTTGGGGCACTTGAGCGTCTTACACGAGTTTCGTGAATGCATCATGGTCATGTGGCCGCCAAGTGACCGTGAGGAGCCCAGGATGGTGTCACACTTGGGGCACTCCACACCGCTCCCCGAAGGGCACTCCCCACCCCCAAGCTCACATAGGGGCCCCACATGCTGGTGATGGGAAATGCAGCTCCCGTCTTCACCCTCAACACTCTCATTTGGTTCTGGTACTGTGGCATTGTCTTTATTGGCACTTTCATCACTGAAGTCGAGCCTCCTGCTGCCCTCACTGTTAAAGCTTAAACAATTCCTCCTATTTGCACCATCAAAGACAAAGGAAGAAGCAGAATTAGAACTAGAAGAAGCTGTGCCCCTGGACAGAGTCTGGAGCACATTAGGCATTAAGGGAGAAATGCTTTGGTTTGAGAGAGCAAGGTCCTTTTTGCTGCTGCCGCTGCCTGCCACTGCCCCAGACTCCTCAGGAGGCCTTTCCTCCAGTTCATCCTCCAACTCGCTTGGGAACAGCCCTTTGCACCCCTCATCATCTTCTTCCTCCTCCTCGTCCTCTTCCTCCTCCTCTTCCTCCTCCTCGTCCTCCCCAGCTGGCTCAATTTTCTCTGAGAGGCTGTCCTGGTCAGCCAGGTCTTGCTTTTCATACTCTACTATCCCAGGGTCCTCCTTCCCCTCGGAGGATATTGTTGGACTGGAAGCCAGTGGGCCCAGGGGGACTGAGGTAATTGGGGTCTTCAAAGCTGAACTTGTTAGCCCTCCAAGGTTCAAGAGAGCCCCAGAGGCCAAGAGGCCCGACTGGGGTTGTTCTGCTCCACTGGCAGCCCCAACCTGGGTACCCCCTTCCCCTTCCATGCGGAGCCCACTGAATTTGCCATAGAAACTGTGTCCAGGGCCTATGAGGTTAGCTGTGGAAACTAAAGGGTGTGGAAAGTTTTTGTTTTTTGGTTCCAAAAAGCTTACAAGGGGTTCCTTGTCTTTGCCTATTCCTTGGATGATAGCGGAGATGTTCTTATTGCTAAGAATTTTCCGCTCCTCCTCGCTCAGAGTCATTCGATGGTCATGCACCGCATGGGTCACAAATGAGCGGACATATCCAAAGGAGAGCTTGCACAAGAAACACATCAGGATGGGCTTCCGCTTTCCATAAAGCACAAAGCCATCAAATTTGGACAGGTCCACATTGTTGGGAACATCTTTGGATACGCAGGAACTTTTGGCAGAACCATCGCTGTTCAGGTAATCCTTGTTGCTTTTGTGGCGCACATCAAAAACGCGGAAGCTGTGCAGGACAGGGCTAACCCCTGTCAGGGCTGAGGTATTCGGGAAGGCCTGGTCCGAGCCCTCAAACCACTTCCCAAAGGATGAGGCTATGTGGAAAGTGTTGATGATCTGTGGGTAGACAGGCGCAGCCGAAGTTGCCTCGCCTTGCTTGCTCCCAGCACTGGGGAGAGAGTTCATAAAGAGTGATGGGAGCGTCCCACTGCTGGTGCCATTGCCACCCCCACAGACCCCCCCACTTTGGATCAGCTGACTGATGCTTTCAACAATGTATGCCGAGCCATCTGGCTGGTAGACTATCTCCCCTGCCAGATTCTCTACATCACTTTCCTCATCTCCCTCCTCGCCAGTGTCACTCCCACAGTCTTCTTGCAGAGGGAGGAGCGGACGGGCACTGGGGCAGTGGTGCTCCATGTAGGTCTGTAAGCTGGCGAAGGAGGTGGAGCATTCGTTACAGCTGACCTCCTTGCTGGCTGGCTCAGTGCTGGAGCCAGAGGCAACGACACTTTCTGCGGAGTGCTCACTGAAAGGAGCCCGCCGGTTGTCTAGGGCTTCATGGCTCTCCGCTGCAGATGGCTCCATGTTACAAGGTTTGCTGGGGAGGTGGGTGCTGCTGAGTTCAGTCCATTGCTGGTGCTGAGGAATAGCACACCCATTGTCCTTCCCCGAGATGACAGATGAGTCACAGCCTTCCATGGCGAGGCCTGCATGGAGCGTTCATTGCACCCAGTTTGGTTCGGACCTAAAGGCAGAAAAAGAGGGAAGAGGGAGAGAGAGAGAAAGAGAGAGAGAGAGAGAGAGAGAGAGAGAAGCAGTCAGTCAGGAGAAAGAATAGGCCAAATTTCCACACAGAGCAGACGAGACATGCACACAGCCCCCTCACCCAATAAAGCAGCTACTCTCTGTTGCCAAGCCTGGAAAATATAGTGGGAGGAAAGCACGGATGGCCAGAAGTTATCAGGAACACTAAAACCCATCAGCACTATGGCAGTCAAAGCAGCATGGAAGGAGCTCTTGGAAAGCCCCTCACTCATTCAAGTACCAAAAAATTAAAAAATTAAATCTGTTTCCCAAAGCTTCTTCAGGAACCAGGAAAAAACATTCCTCTTCTCCCAGACTTTTGGCTAATTAAATAATCTGTGGACCTTTAACTGGGGGTGGGGGTGGGGTTTGGTTAGGTTTGCTGCCATTTTATGTATTTCGTGTTTTTATATTGTAAGCTGCCCTGTGATCCTCAGATGAAGGGCAGTATAGAAATTTAATAAATAAAATAAATTGTTTGTTAATGGGAGCTGGACCCTGGCACCTGCAAGGGGGGCACAGCAGGTCTATCTGTGCACTTGCTGAAAGTAGCTCCAGTTTATGCACTGCCTTGTAAAACAAAAACAAAAACATGAAGTAGGCTAGACAGGAATGGTATGCCAGCCTCCAGAGTTTAAGCTACTGAGGGAGGGCTCTGAATAATGAACATGCAATATACTGATGGCAAGAGAAAGCCATCCACCAAACTGCCTCTTTATGCAGTACTCCAGACCAAGCGCCATGTGTCTATTAGGCAGGCGAAAAAGAGGAAGTTCTATAGCACTGACTATGCAGATCACACCCTTGTTCTATAGTGAGGTGTTTCTGAATTTTAGGTGTGTCAGTTGTGCCAAACATCTCTTCTCACTCACAGCCTTGTTATGTGGGATCAGGCCTGATTAACAACACCATCTATATTCACAGCAGAGTCATGACCAGTTCAGCCAAGCAGAGGACAAAGGGAGTATTTTTCAAACAGTGTCCAATTCTGTCACTTTGCAATCTGAGTTTGGAACATATACATTGATGGTGCTGCTACCATTCAAGCCTCTCACGTTTTAGTCCTCATTCCCCAAAGGATCATCCTGGCAGCTATCTTGAGACACTTTGATCACATTTAAATTCCACTTGACACCTGCTGGAGTCTAATGGGTTCCACAGACTGACAGAATGCACTTTGGACTTTTAGCATATGGTAGCCAAGCTTGATTACCTGGAGAATGATACCTCCTCTCTGCCTACAGCTGCTGAGAGTAGGGGGAAAGGAAGAGGAGCCTGAAGGCAGGCAGTAACTAAAGAGGAATGAAGCAGATAGACGGGCTGGGAAGAATTCAGGTAGAAACAGGGCAGCAAAAGGCTGCGGTCACCAACACAGCACAGCTGAAGAGCAGTGAAAACATGTTGTTGCCCAGTCTGCCAGAAGTCACTTCCTACTTCCTGTTGAGGGCTGCTCAGAGGGTGGAGTCAAATAAACCAGGGAAGCCTGAGGCAACGCTTCAGTGCAGCAATGCCTGTCAACAGCTCCCAATTCAAGAGACTGATTTAGGGCAGTGTGACTGATTCTGCCACACTGGGCATGGAGCCTAGAGGGTGCCACAGGGGGCCACAACTATGATGTAGTGAATTGAGAAGCACAGAAGGCGGGAGCTGGGGCGCGTGCCAAATTTTGGCATCACACAGGGCGTCCCTGAAATTTGAGACACCAAAGTCTGCTCCTGCCATCTCTCCATTGTCAGCAACTGAGATGCTCATTAGCATCCGGTGTACTCACCCCGCCACAGTCAACTGCCCACAGGCAGTGCTTTTTTATAGACAGAACTCACCAGAACTCAGTTCCAGCACCTCTCAGGTGGGCACCATTGCCAACAAGGGAAGCATTCATGGTGAGTTCCTGACCTCTTTTTCTATAAAAATAGCACTGCCCATAGGAATTTCCTGAATGACCTAAAGACTTCCTACTCTCGCCACTCTCTTCACATTTCCAGCATTAACAAAAAATTGTTTATTTGCTTATTGCATTTGTATCCCACCTGTCCTCTAAGGAGCTCAAGGTGGTGTAAATAGTTCTTTTCCTCCCCATTTTATCCTCACAACAACCTTGCAAGATATGTTAGGCAGAGAGCGAGTGATTGGCCCAAGGTCACTCTGTGAGCTTCATGGCTGAGTGGGAATTTGAACCATGGTCTCCCAGGTCCCAATCCAACACTCTAACCACACCACACTGGCTGGAAGGGAACCCAGAGTCCTCAAAATTGACACCAGATGTAAAAACTATAATATTTGCTCATTTTATTTATATACTGCCTATCTCTTATTAGAGCACAGGGCAGCATACAGCATAACAACAAGTACAGCAATCTCCACTTGTAACCCTCTCTTGGCTCAGCTAGGTGTGTCTGATGCCAGTCAGCAGCTGCCCTTGGTGGCCCATTCCACGGTTCTACTTGATAGAAGTTCAGCTCACAGCTGTGCAGCCTTCCCCCAGTGGCATAAGGGAAAGCAGCTTTTCTAAGGTGGCCTTGTTAGACTTCTTCAGAGTGATAGATCTTTTATGGAGGAGTTCCTTTTTGGCTCCCACTTCAAACATGTTCTGTCCTGTTCCTCTGGCAATATAACACTTCTCTGCAGTGTCTGGAATCTCCATAGCTCTGCATCTAATCTTGCTGGACCAGAAACCTCAGCAGCAACTTCCTCAAACTTCCTGCTTTTTTAAGGGTTTAGTGCTGAAGGTTCATCTGAAAAGTTTTACTGGGGCAAGGGGCAAAAATACAACTGGCTGCTCAAGCTGGAAAGCCAAGAGGACAAATCTGGCACTCTCAGCAGAGGTACTATAGCAAACTTATCCTATTGGCTGTGAATTGTCTGATTGGCAGGTGGGGCCAATAGGGTTGGCAGAGCTGATGGGGCGGGAGGGTTAACAGCCTGATTATAAAATCAATGTCATAAATGCTTGGTAAGTTACAGGAACAAGCGGGAAGAAGAGGCTGCGATTGATAAAGGACTGCGGCTTTGATGCTGCACTAGGGACTTGTTTATTGACAGGAAAGCCAATCTCCTCTGCAGGCCAGGCCAGAGAAACCGGCAAATGCTTCCCAATTAATTGGTGGGCTCTTTGGCCTCCCGGCTGCTCTGACTGCCCTTCCCCCTACCCAACAAGTTAACCAATGAAGGAAACACACCATGGAAAGGTATTCTTGCCACCACCCTACCCCTTTTATGCTCTTATCAGATGCCAGCAAAAGACCCTGAGAAGGATGCTCTGCCAACCAACCAGTCACACAAACTGTGCTGAAAGGGACCAGGCCCCCTTCATGCAGAGCTTCTAGTCACTTAAGGGGAAATGGGGTGGCTGCAGGCATAGGTCCCATGAATTGTCTCTATCTGAACTCATAGCCCAAAACAGAGATTACACATCTCAGCTTGGGGCTGAACCCAGCTTAAACAAATTCACCCCACAAAGAATTTTCTGTCCAAATTCCTTCTACACATCCAGCACTACTGCATCTCTCTCTATCAGCCAGTCATTAAGGAAAAGGTAGCTCTTACTTAAGGAGGCAGAAGTCAACTAGTCAGGTCGATCAGTGCACTGTCTGTAAACATGTTTTCCCGTAAAATCAATGATCTTCAGTTAGAGAGAGAAGGAACTGAGAACCTAAAGCCCCCACCATCACCACCTCTCATTGCAGCCCCCCAGGCTCTTGCTCTTCCCAACTTCAATTCATCCCTGCTCCTGGAACCCTCTGGCCCCAAGCCCTATCTCCACTGTTACACCTTGAAGCTATACCACAACTTATTTATGTTAAAAACATATATACCCTGCCTTTTGACTAAAAACATCCAAGATGGGTGAAAAATTGAAGATCCAAATATAACTTACCACAGTGATCAAAACAGAACACAACAGTAGTAGAGAACACCAATAACTTTGGGGAGGTGGCAGTGGTAGAACCCTCTCCCAGATAACAGGTGGTATTTAGTTGTGGCATTCAAAAGGTCTTTCAAACATACCTTTTTACTACTGCCTTTCCTTAAGAGAGCTCAATATCTCTCATGTATTCATAAATAACTGGAATAAGTAACAATAAGTAATTGATTAATCAGCAGCAAAAGGCGGTTAAGCAAAGAAACCCCTTCAAACTCAAAAGAGGGTCCCAAAGGCTCTATGGAAGACAGCATTTTTGCCTACCGCCTAAAACCAATAAAGAAGAGAGACAGCAGGCCTCCACTAAGGAGAGTTCCACATTCAGGAAAAGGCCCTGCCCCAGATGAAACTCTGCTTTCTTCCAGATAGCAGGAGGACTGGGTAGGTTCAAGTGGGAGAGAGTGATCCTTGAGCTGCCTGGGGTGCAGGACATTTAGAGTTTTAATGGTCAAAACCAGTGCTCTCTGAACTGAGTATGGAAGCCTCTAAAAGCTAATGAAGCTGATTCAAGATTGGATTCATGCATCCTCTTAGATCAACCCAATCAACATTATGGCAGTTGTACTATGAATTGGTTGTAGAACCCTTGAAAGGAAGCCCTATGTAGATTGTGAAGAGTGCTAGAATTCTATCCACACCCCTTGTGTTGCACAAACTGAAAGGTATCCAAAGATATAAAAGTAGCGGAAGGTTTAAACCAGACTAACAGTAAAATGTGGTGTCCAAATCAGAACAAGTATGAGCAATTTTATCCACAAAGTATAAAGCAAACTGTTCACAGCAGACCCAAAGTTCCTCCAAATCTTCCTGTGTACGAAGATGCAACAGATCCCTAGTCACTCACTACAAAATATGTAATTTATCTGTAAGATCAGCCTCCATACCGAAAGACTGGAAAGTGGCCAATGCAACACCACTTTTAAAAAACAATCTGGAAAATTGTATGCCAGGGGAAAGGTGGAAAACATTATTAAATATAGAATTATCAAAAATATAGAACAAGTCTTGCTGAAGCAGAA